CGAAGAGCCATTGCAGGGGGGGCGTGGTGTGAAAAGGAAGAAAAAAAAACGCTTGGACACTGCTAGCACGGGGCGCCCACACAAACGCAAAGCAGGAGATGAAGCATCGCTGAATATGTTTCCAAACCAACTTCATTCTAAGCCAAAGACTAGAAAATATGGTGAAGCATATCCTCCCTTTGGCTTCACCTGCACAAGTGCCGAGGTAGGTCTCCCCTGCATAACTGCTTTTCCCTGCGTCGGGTGCAGCGCTGGGCTCCCCAAATCACAGACAAACAGTATCCTACATTCTTGATTTTTAGTTTACAAACACTTGTTGTAACGACCAACCACTCCTGACATTTAGAGATGTTAGCTCTTTATAACATTTTTCTTGTAAAACAAAGGGGGGCCTAGCAAAGAAAGTTTGGGAACCACTGCCTTATATAAACTCTCATGTGGGAGTTTATTTACTGTTACAGTCCAAATAATAGATCAACTTCAAAGTTTTAGTAACATTGACTAACAGCAGCTAACAGAAATGAACCCCAACAGCAGCATAAAAACAGCAGTGCATCCAGGGAGAAAGGTTATGGATATCCTCAATAACTCATCTCGGTATCACTGTCAGTGGACAGAAGTGGGTTTTTCTGGCTCATCAGTTCTTATCCACATGTATTTACTCCTCTAGAATAAAGAGACAGGACTACATATGACAGCTGAAGTAAACAATGGACTAACAACCTACTACACAAGTACACAAGCCATAGTTGTTTATCTATTAGCTTAACATATCTATTTGATATATAGATAGATGTAGCTATATAAATGCAGACTTTATATATGTGTGTGTTTTAAATTCTAAAATATTCTGACAAATTGGCTGATATAAGATGAAATGAGTCATGGCCATAACTAGTTTCCTGGCTAGCTACCAGACACACACAGAATTTAAAACAGTGATAGTTCAGATAAACCACATAATTAAGCTCAGCCTCAACCCTGACAGATCAAGCTTATCTCTGTGCATGCTCACATCACCTGGTGGCTCAAGTGACACCCTTCAGAACCCTGCTGGACAATCACATAATCAAAGCTCTAGCCCATGACCTGGTGTATTCTAGTAGACAAGTTTGGGCATAAATTACCAAATGACATGTGGTTTTGTAGTATTTTAAGCTTTGTGAGTCAGTCTGTCATAATTCCACCTCATTATAAGACCTAAGTGATGGAAGATAGACGAGACAGGATGGTTGAAGATAGAGGGATGAAGGAGATAAGTTTTCCATTTTTCTCTGAAGTCGGGTGTCATGTAACAGCTGCTGCATGCTCTACAAGGCAGTCCACACAATGTCCAGCACATGTTGCATTCACACTGGACAGCGCATTCTAGTACACTTCCTCCTGTGACATTCTGTCAGGCAAATGGCTGCAGGACAGCTGGATTCCACAGATGGCATTTGACAGGAGATATTCCAAGCATTTAAAATACGATGCGACTGCTCCTATCAGCAGAAGGGGCTCCTACAGACCACTGATTCATCATTTACTGGAACTGATGGAAAAGACAATGTGACGATGTCGTTAAAAAATGTCCAGACACGTCGTGTGTAATAACTGTTTGTACTAGATGTAATTTTTATTACATTGTGTCCAGTTTGGCCATTTTTGCGAGTCACATCTGCGTTATCTAAAACACAAGAAATCACCCAAAACACTAACAGTCATTTTTTGATCTACATGTCTGCACAGTTGGCCAATAAACAGTTTCTCTTGCCTTATGCTCCAGGCACAGACATTTGAGTAATTGCATCAGAGAAACATTGTTGAAATATGCATCACAGAAAAGAAAAAGCCGACCATCAACACACACTCTGCTGCATTCTTATTGTATATAATGTAAAAAAATATGCACTCAGAACTGTCTCACGGCTGTATGAGTGTGATCATCTGCTCTCTTAGTGCTTTTATCGCACACGCTGAAACACACACAAACACACGTGCGCTTCCAGACAGTTCAGATGAGACTTGTCACATCCGCTGACATAGGCCCCAATTAAAGGGGAGGATTAAGCCAGGGCTGGGTGACCTCCTCAGGAATCTGTCTGAGACACTGTGTGTACACTGTCAAACCCTCTGACAGAACTTCCCTTTAAGCACTTTCACCTGCTAATTAAGACGGGACCGGTTCGTGTGTGCGTGTCGGTGTGCGTGCACCTGTGTTCATTCAGCGTACTCGCAAGACAAATGTACCTGCGAATGTCGTGGATAGATTTACAGCCCGAGGAGCTTCTATGTAAATATTTGACTTGAGAATCCTATGGGTTTCTTGGAGCTCACTCCAGCACACGTCAGGCACATGGGCTAACAGCAAACAGATAGACCGTATCATTTATTACCTTAAATTATTGCGTGTTTTGGTGTGCGCATCTCACTGGTGTGTGCAGGGGCTCTTCGGCAACAAAAACCAAGCAGTGTTTATGGTGTGAAGAGATTAAAATGGATAGTAGCGAGGCAGAAGCACTGAGCTGTTGCTGGAAAAAAGCTTTCAATGACTGATTAGCCCTCTTTCGCTGCAGTTTTTACACAGTGTGGAGAAAAGGCCTGTAGTAATCACACACTTGTCTTTGGTATTCTCTCTATTTAGCAAACTGAAAACGGGCAGGGTGGGAAATTAATGGAAAAATAACTTTCAAGCCAAAGTTGAGGTGGAGAAAAGCCTATAAATAGGGGGATACAAAGAGAAAGGGTCAAAAGGAGGCGAGAGTTTTCTTAAAAACGAATTCTTTTGAATCATCATATTATAATACAGAATAATTTGCTAGTAATAAACAAACTAAAATGACAATGCTTGTTAATGTTTTACAATAAAATCCCTGTTAAGAAATGAAAGAGTATATTTTCTGGACCCTTGCACACCTTCACTGCTCCTGGTGTTTTTCTTTTCATGCTCCGGATCATATTCCATATAACTTTCCATTCAAATCTAAGGGTAAACAGCAACGGTGAAATCCTTGATGTGTCCAGCCGACGTCCAATGTCGACAGAGGTTTAGGAGGCTCTGCACCTGGTGGGGCAGCAGTTGGCGAAGGCTGCCCTCAGAGGAGAACGCGCTATGTGGTGGGGATCACATGTTGAGGACAGGGGAATACAATATAAACTGCTGTGTGACTGAGCAAACTCAGTGATTGTACAAAAAGTCAAGACAAGTAGCTCAGAGAGGTTTATTTTAAATGCTAGACAGTTTCAGTGGTCATCAGTGTTGCTGTTGTTGAGGCAGGCATGTCTCATTTACAAGGGACGCCTGTTTGTATATCTCATGGTTTCAGAAGTCTGAAAATTATTCAAATTTAAAGCTGCAAAATAAATAATGTTACTCAGAACATGCTTTAAATCCTCCTCAGAGTCTGCTCCTTCACATACTGTAAATAGCGACTTTTGCATTACAGTGGTATTATTTTCCCCCCTAAAGAGAGGATGTAAGTAATTGGTTATGTTTGTTTGTCTGTTTAGTGTCCACAATTTTCAAATTTTGTGTAGTTGTAGATGATTTAATGTTAGCTGGGTTAACGTCCAGGCCAAAGCAAATGTGAAAATCGGTAAAACGTTATATTACCAGCAGTTGTTATGGGTAATTTTCAAATGTCACAATAATATACTACTATTGTTAGTGCCCGAGGTCAAAGTTCACCTTGAAAAAAATCTGAAAGGAGACAGAGAAAGCTGTACGACACACTTCTTTAAATACTTAAAGTCACAGTGACACCATAAACTTTTGCAGCTGTCATATTCATGCTGTTCAGTCCCTCCCCTACGCTGCTCTGGCAAATCAGTCATCATTACTGGGCATAAAATGTATTGATACTGGTCTGTCTGTGCTTGATTAGCCTAATTAGCACTGTGTGAAGTAATTTGGCTTGAATGTGACTGGAAAGTCATACACTCTGGACTTCAAATCAAAGTGTTTTCACAACTGACATATACAGTATTTTTTAAAGTATAAACGAGTATTCAGTTGAAACCCAGCATTTCAGATGGAGTTGTAGTCAAAGTTTCCACAAACGATTATTTACCAGCTTCCTGAAAATGTTTCACAATAAAAGCCCTGTTAAGAAATGAAGGATTTCTTTCCACTTTCTTGGATTTAAATAGGAAACATTCCTACATATTTTTGTGTTTCCATTGTAGCATTGGTTGTGTGGTGTGGTCAGTGTTTCTGGGCCTAACAGATTGTTGGATAATGGATTTAATTAAGCTAAATTTGTCTTTTATTTACTTACATGTTGGTTTATTGAGGCTGTGTTTGCTGAAAAAATGTAAACATATTTGGAAGAGAATCTCGAGTTATTTTAGACTTCTGTCTTACGAGTCACTCATTTCTTGCCAAACAATTGTTAACCATCACCTTAAAATAAAGTTCAGTGAGGCTTAGTACAAGAACTACTTGCTACTTTCTGCAGTTCAGTCACTGTGAGGAAAATAAATGATAAGTAATCAGGTTTTCAGACAATATCTGTTTAAAGTTTTTAAAAAAATGTGGCAGCCATTAATACTTTTATTTATTGTACATTGTCCACATTGTTTGTTTCCTCTGTGTGTGTAAAGCCCACTTGGTCTTCTAGTGTTATGTGTGTTTCCAGTCTGATTATACTGCTACATTTGTATCACAAGTTTATTGAATATTGCTTTTATGCATTCTATTTATTACACGAGAGTTGAATACTCCAGTGAAACTCGTTGCCACTCCTGCTTTTTTCGCTTTCTTCCTCCTGGCTGTACTGCTACTTCGTTATCTGCTTCTCTATCTTGATATTTCCCTCCCCATCTAACTCCCCCTCTCTCCTCTCTAATGACAGTCAACAAGGCTGATAGGCTGATATATTTACACTGGTGGCAAGGGAGGAAGAAATCATCAGCCAAACCCTGTCCTGCCCCTGGGCTCTGACAGGCGGGGCTTGGAGGAAACCCTGGCCGCCTAGCCACTCCCAGAGCAGGGCATATCTCTCTCTGCTGTCCCTGGCCCTGCTCAGATCTCACAGCTAGATGGGACCAAAGCTTTCTCAGGCCCACAGACTCACAGACACACTCCCACATCAGCTACCGGGGGGAGAGTGAGCGGAGAAGAGAAAGCAGCAGGCAGAGTGGAAGGCTGCTGCTGGTGGTGTGCACGCTGGCTGAGAGAAAGACAAGAAAGCCAGTGTTTGTTTTGTTTTGGTTTTTTTTTTTTGCTGTGCCACTTTTCCTCTAGATCTGTTGATGAGCCAGGCTGGGTCAGCTCTGGGTCTTGTCTCAGTGTGGGGTTCAGAGGTCGGGGTCAAAGTGTCACTGCTTCTTGAGTGTGCGTGGCTATTTTGCAACTTTTGAACACTGGAACTGTACTGTAAGCATTATGACTCTTCTGGGCTCTGAACACTCCATACTAATACGAAGCAAGTTTAGATCGGGTAAGTCCAGTGACGACTGAAACGTGACTTTTATTGCTTCTCTGTTCTGTCACAACTTATGAACACTTTCTGTGTACGGCTGTGTTTATTCTCAGAAGCCGCACAAACAGTTTGTCTGCCAACAGCATTTGAAAACAATTCTCCGTACGTTGTGTCATTCGTCTGTCTTTGCGGATGAGTTGTGTTGATACTCAGAATGTGCTCCTCAGTAACAGCAGCCGAGTGACAGGTGTGTGTAATACACAGTGCTGGCATGTGATGGCACAAGGAATAGCAGAGCGAGGTCGGCGTGAGTCAGAAAGCTTCCCGTCACTCTGTCACAGTATGATGGATTTACAGACGTGATGTCCATCAAACTCCTTGTAAATGACACGAGAGAGAATGACGTTTCAGACAGGTTAGTGCACTTGTTCAGTCCCAGTCACTAACCCTCTGCTGCTGCTGAGGAAAGCCAGTCAGACACTGTCGTTTTCAGGCTTTGATAAAAAGAGATTAGAGGTCAAAGGTTATCTAAATATGGCTGCATTGGAAGCTGCGTGTACCTGAGCATATCAAAGCGGGAGGAAGGGTCTGGACTACAGCACTGACTTAAACTCCTTCTAATACACATCAGATGTTGGGGATTTGTATCCATCTGTCTCCTTCACGTACACAGACTCCTTAATTCCGTCACTTTCTTATTCCCACACGCACTTTCCTTAGTTTGAACATACTTTGTCTAAGCTCGCACGTGTGTGTTTTCAGTGTGTGTGTAGTCTGAGCAACACTGCCACCTCCCTGAGGAAATTGCAACTGATCGTAGCTGTTCAGCTTGTTCCACACTCAAAAAGCAGCTGCTTCAAAGCGGTGGCTGTAGTGGCTCTGGTTGCTACCTCCAGTGTGCCTGTGAGCTGTAATTGCGTTCCAGAAATGGCAGGCTAAATGATGCTTTTCCTTTGATTTGTTTAGAGCACATCAGTAGGGTGGGAAATGACCCCCGGTGCTCTGGGGAGCATGAGAGGCTGGATTCAAAAGCAGCATAAGGCTTTTCATGAAGGTGGCTCAGGGTCTGTGTTGCTCTAACCCTTGTGCTATAGCTTGTTATAATGCAACACAGATGTAGAGATATTGTCCTTATGCCAAAGTTTGCTTGATATTACAGTCACAGGAGTTAATGCCGCCTGCTAAAAGCGACTGCTTGAGCTCATTTATGAGCGCATGAGTGAAATGTTGTGCGTAAGCGAAGTAAAATTGTCCGTAAATGTCTCTGTGATAACTGCTGATGGCAGGGGGAAGTTGAAGATGATCTGCTGTCAAGGATTTACAGTTTCTTTAACATGAAGTGCGTTGACTTACACTACACAGCAATTGTCACTCCTATGCACCATGCTTAAATGACAATCAAACTAATCAAAGCCATGGGAACTGCTACCGCATGGTTGAAGCTAAAAGGAAAGATAAAGATCTCATTTAAGTGCTCCCCACGGAGCGCCGACTCTGAGTGTGTGAGGTACTGACGAGTTCTCATGCTGATTTGATTTAGAGCTCAAATGACCATAGTCCATGCTCTTAAGCTCAAGGCCGTTGCATAATATTATGACAGAGACGTCAAATGCAGTGCCACATGTTAACCATATGTAAATCAGCAGTGCATACATGTGCTGTCTTTAATATATAACTATTTCAGACCCATTTTCACTTCTGATCCCAAATGTGTAAAACATAAACACGCTGGATGTTTTCAACCTGGATCACCGAGAAAATCGAAATAGTAAAACAGGAAGCTTAGTTTGATGTTCTTTTCTGAGCTGGCAAACATTTGATGTGGTATTTGTCACGTTTGAAATATGATCTGTGAGTTTATCAGTTAAAAGCAGAATAAGCCTTTCACTCCACCAGTGTCATCTATAAAAAATAAAAAAATCCATCTGACCCACAGCAAAAAAAGAACAAAATAAACAACAACAAAAAAGAAATTATTAACTTAGCTTAAAAAAAACAGCAGGAACCAGCAGTCTGCACTAAATGGATAAGCATACCATGCAGGCAGTCACATGACAAAATTTGTGGGTTTAGACTTTGTTTAGGAAAGTCCGTACTGAAGAAATTATCGCTGTTCTAGAGCCTTCATGACACTCCTCCAGGCGCTAATTGCAACAGTTATTTTGAAGTATTATTCAATAAGTGATCAGAATAGGCTGTAAGTAAGAATCACTAGTCAAATGATATAAAAAAAAAACAACAATTTGCTATAATAACCTACAATAACATTTTAAAAAACACTTTTACTTTTTTTGTAGAAAAAAACACTTTTGCTTCTCTTTTAGTAAATCTCTGATGTTAAATGCTGCACTAGACTAGCACTAAATTAGTCTCATCTTGCATTTATAACGCTGTGCTATAACGGACGTGTCACCAGGTAAAATTGCAGCAGAATTCTTGTCTCTTCTGACAAAGTTGGTAATAAGTTACGAAATGAGAGACTACCCCACAACACGCTCTGCTGACGATGATTTGCAGTCTGGCGACACATGAAAGCACTTACCTGTGTTTCTGAACTCAAGTGAGATTTTTTTTCGCCTTCTTCAACATACATCCAAATGTCCTTACTACCCCACTGTTCACTATGAGTCACTGTCAATGGAGCCGCTCCAGAAACTGTACCTTAATGGTGGAGCGTTGGCTCTCCTCCACACAGGTCCTGGCTCGCATTCGCAAACCTGACTCCAACTGTCCAAGACCGTAGAAATAAAATATGCCAGTTGTGTTTTAAGGTGGATTTTCACTTTATGCAGAGGTATTAGACTAAAATAAACTTAATACTTCATTTAGGAATACCTGTTTATTAGAAGTTATACAGTTACACCCATATATCTGTCGTGAACACATTCCTGATTGCACTAAGGGAAAGTTCAGGAGGATTCATGTAACAAATGCAACCAGTGTTGGAGCTTAAGTGTAAAAGTGAGGTGTTATTATTATCTTGTTTTGTTTTTTTGTTCTTTCTTCAGTGCGGTGGCTGTGAGTGTGTGAGGCACAGAACAATAAATCACAGTATCACTCAACTGGCTTGTGCAATTATCAGCACTTCACTGGTGCAAACCAAAGCCAAATGACAATTTATTTGCACTATAAATCTGAAAAATTGGGTTTGTCTGTCCTTTATTGTCAAGAAAGCCCAAGTTAAAACAAGTGTCTTCAGTTTCAAAGTCAACATTCAGAGAGGCGTAGTATGGTTCAGTGATCTGTGATTACATAGCTTGGCTCTGGCCCACTTTCTATAACATGTATACTCTGCAATCAGGACAAGCGAGCCTTTGGTCTCAGCAAAGCTTTTGGGGAGAAAGAGCAGATTACATGGCAGCTGCTGTGCTTTTCCAAGCACAATTATTGATAACCTGTCAGTGAACATAATAAAGAGCAGCTGATGTTTCACCTGGCTTTTTCCAAGAAAATTAGAGACAAAATTTGCACGTACGACCAGATTCAGGCTATTCAGGCTGATTGTTACGTTAGCCCGGTATCATGACATGATGTTTGGATAGCGCATTGATTTCCGTAAGTCATTTTGTTCATTCAAATGCATGCTTTTAGGACACCTAATTTTTATGAATACATATAATGCTGTGTTTAAATAAAATTTGTTCATATTTGATCTCTGACAAATGTTTCAGGCGCATAACTCTCTCCTAAAAGTTTCACAGGTTATCTGCTTTTGAAGAGAAAAAACCAAAGAGGAAGTTTCTTCAGCTCACAATAACAGCCCTTTTTCTAAAGCATATAGAGAAGGGGAAATAATTATTTGATCCCTTACTAAATTTGTAAGTTTCCTCACCTACAAACAAATGGACAGTCTTTAATTTTCACGACTGTCATTTTAATCGAGACAGAATATCAACCAAAACTCCAGAAAAAACACAATGCATAAAAATAGCAAATTACTGAGTGAAATAATTATTTAATCCCCTACGATCCAGACAGAATTCTGGTTCCCACAGATTGTAATCAGTCTGATCTCAGCGCATTACGTGTATAGATTACACTTGTCACAGAATCAATTTCTTCCATTCTAACCTCTCCACCACCATGGTCAAGACCAAAGAGCTGCCACGTGTCCCTGGACAGGGTCCCTAGACAGGGACACATGGGTGGAATGGGCTACAAGACCATCACCAAGAAGCTTGATGAGATGGTGGCAACTGTTGGAAGAAATATAAAAACATCATCAGTCACCCTCAGTCTGAAGCTCCATGCAGGATCTTGTCTCATGAGGGGAAGCTGCACAGGAGAAGCTTGTTAATAATATGAAGACGGTTGGCCCAGTCACTAAAAAAATACTATTAGTAACACACTACGCCATAATGGGCTGAAATCTTGCAGCGTCTGCAAGGTGCCCCTGCTCAAGAACACGCATGCACAGGCCTGTGAACGCCTAAATGATGCAAAGAAGGCGTGGGAGACAGCGCTGTGGCCAGATGAAACTACAGTCAAGCTCTTTTTTGGCATCACCTGTACCTGCTGTGTTTGGAGGATGAGAGGATAACAGAAAGAACATCATCCCCACAGTCGAGCATGGAGGTGGAAGCATTATGTTCTGGGGCTCTTGTTCTGCTTAGGGTGGAGGACAACTTCAACACATTGAAGGGCCAACCGATGGCCGTGTATCACAAAATCTTAGACAAGAACGTCCTTCCCTGAGCTATAGCTCTGATAATGTTCGTGGAGTCTCCAAACCTCAATCCTACCGAAATTCTGTAGAGGGAGCTGAAGCTTTGAGCTGCCATGCAGCACCCAAGAAAAAAAAGAGTTTCTATAAAAAGGAGTGGGCCAAAATCCCTCCTCAGCCATGTTTTCCTTGGGGAACAAATACTTTTTTGACTCAAAATACAACGTCCATTTGTAACTTTTATGTCACGTGTTCTTGGTAAATGCTGGCAATGCTATCGGCTACTTGCGTAGGCTACATTTAACTACATAGATTCATAGCATAAGTATAAATGAATGCTTTAAGGGTTACTGTTACATTACTGGCTTACTGGCGGTGCTAAATTTTAAAACGAAAATGTTGCTCTTACAAGGACTTAGCTACCCTCAGTACTGTTCAACTTAAACTGTTATTTTTAGATTCAAATGAGTGCAAGCTTGTTGAATAAAAATCATTTGGCTATAGTTACATTCCATCTGTCACCTGGTCTTAAAAAGAAGAGACAACATTTGCATGCAGGAAAGTGCTCATTTTTCCTTGTCAGAAATTGTATCGGTTACATGTTTTGGTAAGCTTCCAATCGGCAACTAATGCCTTCATTTGCTCTTTGGGATGTCGCGACCGGCAGGTCACGACCCCCTCGCTGTAAACGAAAGCAGATGTCAGATGAAGGGAAGGGCCTGGTATTACATAATTGAGGTGCTCTCCCATGAGAGACCTGTGATGTGGCGCCTGAGCTCGCTGACACACAGTCAAACTGTTAAGAAAGTTGTTACATGACATCAAAGCTGGAAGGCTGGAAGAAATTCATAAAACGTGTGATTGCAGCCAGAGCTGCGTGAATATAAACCACCTGAGTGAGATAATTAACAATAGGGGAGACAGAAAATGATTAGGACCGTGCAGGAAAAAGGGAACATTTCATACTTATGTGTCGGATCCAGGATCTGACCGGGAGACCTTCAGATAATACTGGGGAGGGAAAACACACACAGACAAAGGAAGAAAGAGAAAGCAACAAAATCACAGACGCACTCAACCAACAGACATTGAGGAGTTTCTATGTTTATGACCTTAAACTCCCACCTAGACTCCCCCCCCACACACACACACATGCAGGGCACAGTGAAACGTGTGCACATGCTGTGGACCACACACTGCAGAGCAGATCTGTTTAAAAGCCAGGAGCTGTGTTTATCATTCCCTACATCCTGCTCACAGAAATATTTGTGAGCAAGCTGCGCTGTTTTGTGTGTGTTTTCTGTATGCATATGTGCACATACGTATGTGTCCATGTGCATCTGTTCAATGACTACAAATTGACGCTGGTAGCTTTTCATTCCAGCCCACAGACAGAGTAAAACTATGCTAATTCGACTTTAAGTTTCATTCTGAAATACCGATTTAAATGGCTTGTATTCTCAGCCTCTTCCTGCTTTTTCTCTGTCCCTCTCCTGTCTCTCCATACCTCTTTCTCACCTTCGCTCTTTATCTGTCCTCCTCTTCCTCCTCCTACCCCCAACTTTAGTCCTACAGTTAAGACTTCAGCAGAGGAGGACACGAGAGCAGCTGGCAGACCAAGGCATCATGCCTCGTGAGTAACACCTTCCAACATGGAGCTGCTGCACATCCAAACACACACACACACACACACGTACTTACATGCTTTCAGACTTAAGTGTGAGTCAGACAGTCAGAGCGAAAAAGTGTGAGAAACTCAAGCATGTCAACTTATCACACTTGTCCCAATTAGCAATTAGATACAGAGGTGAAAGGTCAGTTCCCCCGACTGTCTAGCTGTTAAAATAATGTAGGTTTTATCTGTCCAAAAGATAAATGAGTGTTCTGCTTTCATGCAAATACGAGGTTGATAGGTAACTGAATTTTTTACATTCATTTATGTGAGGCACTCCTTTAACATTAGACTTGTTCCATTACCAACAAAAATATTAGTGAGCTTTAAAACTGTTTTTAATTAATTTGGGGGTTTTTTTTCAATAATTTTGAGCAGTGAAAAAACAAATATTGTGTGCTTTGTCCTCGGGTGTGTGGTGGATGGCGCAGTTCACTGTGGGAAATATGAGCAGTTACTGCATTTTTCAAATTTGCCCTAGGTCCCCTTGGCTCAATCAGTATTATTTTGAAAATCCAGGAATGAGGTTGTGAGAAGCACCAACTGCCCGAGTTTCACATGCATCGGATCCTTGAGTCTGACATACTGCTTGACATTTAAAGAGAAAAGGGAAAAAAATAGTTAGATGTAGGCCTGAGATGAAAACTATAAAAACAGATACCAGCTGTTAGTCAAAAGAGAGACAAAAAGAAAGTGATCCACAGTCTCATGGACAATTTTTCACAGTACATATATGTTACTGATGGACGTGTAACATGAATCCAGCTGTATTCAAGAGAGAAAGCAAAATGAAACAGGCAGTAAAAACACAACAAAGCACATATCTAGATAGTGGAGATGAAAAAATCCAGAACCAAGGAAAGCAGGTGGCTTTATGCTACAGAGCAGAGGAGAAAGAGACGGCCAGATAGTGGCTGCAGCCCGAGAACAGGCAGACAAGATTGTAAGTGACCGCCGAGGAATGCTCTTGTGCTGGAAGAGGACATTCGGCCTCAGAAGAAACAGCTTAGGAGGCCAGATTCACAAGAGGTGGCACCTGTTTACAGCCCAGCGCTGAGAGGCATGCCCAAACACAACAACTGAGCGTGCAGGCCGCATTTACAATAAAGAGGCTTTGTGCTTTTAAGAGCACGTAAGTCATAGTGATGAGAACACATAGACCTGACTGTACTGAGCAACCTCTTAAATCTTCACCCTTGCTGCGATTGATGTTCCCTCCTTTTCTTCAGGTCAGCTTAGTGGATGTTTGCAGCTTTTCGGGTTAGCTGTGACTGCCAACACACGCCACGCGAGAGATAAATTTCAAATATTCATGAGAAAGTAGTTTGTTTAGTGTGCGACATTACAACACAGCAGATAGCTACTCATAAAATCGAGATTTTTATCTATTCCTGTTACTTTAAAGCATCTCGTAAGTCATCTCGGGAAACATGGAATTAGTGAGCCATGCAAGCAAGCTGGTTTTGTCCCCCCCTCGATTCCTTGCCTGTAGAAACAACAAGGGGACCGGGTGACCTGGACTACAGGCTTGGGATTTGTTGAATGATATCTCTGGCACCGTTCGCCATTTCACAGAGGCTCCAGCCTCAAGATAAACCTCTGGTAAGTGTGCGGGGGAACGGAATCCAGGGGCCCGGCGAGCCCCTATCAGTTTCTAGGAGTCTGTCACAGATAAGGCAGCAACGAGAAACACAATTGGCCAGCAGGGCTCCAAGCACTCTTTTAAAAAAGAAATTTCAATTGGCTGTTTATCTCTTGATTGCAGGCGGTGGTGCAGATCTGAGAGACGTTGCAAGGACTCGTATTTGTGCTGTTTGTCATACACCCACACACTAGATGTCTTATCGTTCTTCAAAACATCATCCGTCCTCCCAAAAAAAAATCCGGCATTTCTGAGGAGGGCACAACGTCCTCCTCCTCCTGCGGCTGCCGCTTCTGCTGCTGTCGATGTGATCCCTCAGATGCTGGTTGACTCTGCCTGGCTGTGTTATTCCTGCTCGGGGGAGATGGACACGGCACAGGGTCTGTGTATATATTACCCAGGGAACATCTGGTGTTTATTAGACTATTCAAGAATCCGCCACGGCCTCTCGGGCCCGACTGGCGTGTGGCCTGCATGGGAGCACACACTGTCTGCCTGCTGGCCACAGGTCTGACTTGACACACACATACAATCTAATATTTCCCCATAAAGATAACAGGCCCGTAGCTGCAGGTTTACTGTGCTCTCTGTTGCTTTAAAATGTTCATTTCCACAGCAGAAGGACTTTAATCCTCAGTGGATGGAACCACAAAAGGAATCATTCCAGCTAATGCACCAAACCTCTCTGTGTAGTGTTTACGCATGACAGTCAGCAGTTAAATGTACTGCAGTAGGTTTAAAGAGCACTGTATGTTTAAAAGTGAGCTTCAGACTCACCCGATCATGTTACATTAGGCCAGCGCAGTCGCATCAGGCCAAGTTCTAAACAGACGATAACGCCGACGTGACCATGACAGCAGCTGATGCTTCTCCACTCTCTCTCAGAGGAATGGGGCGCGCAGCCACAGCGGATCATCTGTATTACCCACCTCAGTGTTTTTCCTTCTACTCAAATCGAATCTCTTTTTTCTTCTTTTCTGCTCCTTTTCATGCTCCCAACATTGTTTTTGTTTTTTTGTTTTTTTATTTTAACATCCCTTCACCCCCAACCCCCACTGCAGATGAGTCTGGATCTGCCAGAGCTTTCTTCCTGTTAAAAGGGAGTTTTTCCTTCCCACTGTCGCCAAGTGCTTACTCATAGGGGGTCATCTGATTGTGGGAGTTTCTCTGTATTATTGTAGGGTCTTTGCCTTACAATTATACAGAACTGTGGTTGTGAATCGGTCCTATACAAATAGAATTAAATTTAATTAAATTTACCTTTTTTCCTGTCCCTCCCCTTTTTGAGTTCAGAATTTGTCTGTGTTGAATATTTTTCTTTTTTTTTGCTCTTTATGTTGTTCATTTTCTGGCAGTGTCAAAACTTCTAACATACAATGATGATCATTCTTAATCTACTTCATTGTCCTCTCTTTTAACATATTTCTCTCTTCTGGTTTATCTTTCTTATTTTCAAGTCAATTCAATTTTATTTATATTTATACTGCGCCAAATCACAACAACAGTCGCCTCAAGATGCTTTATATTGTACGGTAGACCCTACAATAATACATACAGAGAAAAACCCAACAATCATATGACCCTCTATGAGCAAGCACTTTGGCGACAGTGGGAAGGAAAAACTCCCTTTTAACAGGAAGAGACCTCAGAACCAGGCTTAGGGAGGGGCGGGGCCATCTGCCATGACCGGTTGGGGTGAGAGAAGGAAGACAGGATAAAGACATGCTGTGGAAGAGAGCCAGAGATTTTATTCTCTACCTCCTGATGCTGCTACTTCCTTTTTTCTGTGTTTTCCTTTCTCATTCATCCTGCTTTAGTAGCGTCTGCCTCTTCCTTTTTTTCGTCTTCTTTTGTCAGAGATTGATAGATGTCTATTTTGACTGAGATCTTTAGCATAATATTTGCTTTATCTAAAGTTTAAAAATGCCTAATATTTGAACATTAATCTTGATTTTGATGAAACCCATTTTTCCTCTGAAGCATTACATTTCAGATCCGTTTTTCATCAGACACTAATACTCTCTCTAACTTGTCCAGCACAAAGCTCAGTATCATTCATTTCTTTGTTGGCGCTGGATCCTATGTCATCCCTCTGAAATATCCCACTAAAATTATATTTGACCAAATAAGTGCTGTTGCTCTTTCTTGGACTCAGATAATCAAACTGATCTGGTGCGCTCTCCGCACTGCTTGGTAATCAGTCCTGCAAGTGCTGCAGACAGATTGTAGGCCAAGCCAGGTTAGCTCTGGCCCTGATTATTTATCCAGGATTTAACAGAGATAGATTGTAGAAAGTTGAAAATCTTACCCACTGCAACCCTTTAATTAGAGCCTCTCCATTTATTTTTCTAGTATTCAGACTGTACTAGGAGAAAAAGCAGCTGGACTGATATTACAGCTGATCCAAAATGTAAATATTGATTATTGAATGCAGAAGTGTGTAGATTAATAATGATATGATAAAAAAGGGAACAGAGGTTTAAATGGAAGACCATTTTACTCTGGAATTTAATAAACAGATGAGAAAAAGCCCTGATATCACTTCAAAATTATTGTAGTTTGTTACTTCTAAACATCATCTATAACTTTGGTTACTGTGGGTGTTGTAAAGACAACATTCACAATAAGACGAAAAACTAAAGTCTGTATTAACAAAGCATACACAAAGAGTTATTTGCCATATTCTTATAATTACTGACATTATTGATATAATATTGTCATCCATACGTGGTTATAAAGATACCCCAATCAAGTTACAGGTAAATGTTCTGTAAGGAAAGAAGAAAAAGTGTAGAAATATTATGAGCAGAATCTCTCTGCGTACAGGAAAAGCAGATCTGCTGTTATGAATTCGTGGTGCGCTGCAGGTGCATTCCTAAAATGCAACGTTCATCTTTTTGCTACTGAAAAACAGCCTTGTGACCTTAACTTGTCTTTCAAGTAGGGCAGTGGAAGTGTGCCAGCTTAACCGCCAAGTTGTGCTTTCTCACAGCTTGCTCTTGAGACGCGAAGAAATCATCTGTGTTTATAGTCGTGGAACAGACACACCGAACGGTGGAGAGGAGGAGAAGGATTGCATAAAAATGCAGACACAGAGCCCACGCTCATTAATTGCAGGACATTATCCCACTTATAGATCACCAGTGACACTGTCAGTTACCTGAATCCTCTAAGAAATGACCGCCGTAACGGTGTATTGAAGGATCGGGTTATATGGTTTGTTTTTAAATGAATTTCAACATTAGTTCAGAATTGTTTGAAAGTTATATCTGGAAGATGCTCAAGATCGTTACTGCATACTTATCAGAGATCTTTTCATGTTAGCATGTAGTATCAGGGTAAGGTGGAACCATTATTAACTAGCTTATGGAGTCATTATACACTGATCAGGCATACCATAATTCACTCTGACAGGTGAAGTAAATAACATTTTGATGATCTCTTTATCATGGCGCCTGTTACTGGGGTGGATATATTAGGGAGCGAGTGAACATTTTGTCCTCAAAGTTGATTGGTTAGAAGCAGGAAAAATGTACAAGTGTATGGATTTGAGTGTGTCTGAGAAGGAACGAATTGTGACGGCTAGACGACTGGGTCAGAGCATCTCCTGTGGGAGGCTCCCAGTCTGGAGTGTGCATTGATTAGCTGAACACCAGGATGCACTATGGGAAGAAGGGAAGCCAGCGGACGCAGTGTGATGCTTTGGAAAATGTCCTGCTGGGAAAACTTTGGCAATTCGCCCTGCCACAAAGAAAAATAGTTTGAGGAGCACAAGTTTGAGTTGACTTGACCTCCAAATTCTGTTGCTAACAACTTGGTACCAGATACCACAGCACACCTTCAGGGGTGTAGTGGAGTCCATGCCTCAATAGGTCAGGGCTGTTTTACCAGGCTAAGGCAGACCGGGCAATATTACGCAGGTGGTCATAATGTTATGCATGATCGGTGTAAGTTATTCTGGACAACATAGACCATTTTAAATCTTTAAAAGTAATAAGAGTCACTGTCAAACAAATGGATTAAGGATCTTTGTAATCACGGCTAAAGTGCATTATATCAAAGTATACTTTCAACTGCAAACATAAAAATATACTTTTAAGCATGTACTTCATTACTCTCCACTCCTTTAGTGTAGTGTTTCCCTGGTGTGTCCCATGTCGTTGATGTTGTGGTCCTGCTCTGTGTTATCCAGACCCGGCCTCAGGCGGCTCCAATCTGGAAGCCCAGCTGAGGCTAAAGCGAGCCCAGCTCGCCGAGGACTTGAATAAGAAGTTGGCACTCAGGCCAGGGCCCATGGAGCTGGTGCAAAAGAATATCATTCCCCTAGACTCTGCCATCACGATGACAGGTATCAGTGGAGAGACGCCGCCACGTGGTGTAACCCGACTTTAACACCCGCTGCGCCTTAGCCTGTGCGTTTATATGCTTGTGTGTTTGGGACTAAAGTTTAGGTGTAGAGTTTGTTTTGTCTAAAAGGGCCCTTCTAACTGACTGACTGTGTGTATAATCATTAATGAGGCAGACTGTAAGCTACTCAAACGAGCATTGTACTTGAGTGGACTGCACTGCTACGTCGGTCACATCGTTTAGTCTTCTAACAGGAGAAACGGATTATTCCAAATGATAAGACCTTCAAAGGGTCTGCACAGATCAGAGTCTTCAATGCATCACAACCCCTTTTGTTTTTCTCTCGTGCTGGAGAGTCATGTGCTAAAGTCAAGTTTATAGGTATGAGCAATGATATTTCTCTTTATTTTAACCTGGTCTATTTTTGCATATGTGAACCACGCTAATGTTGCACTCTCCAGCAAAGTGTATTTTGGGAAAATATTACAGTGTTTCAGGAAACACAGGAATTTTAGAGGAATTGTTTTAAACACTAAAATTACTAAAACTATTAATTACTATCACTATTCCTTATTTCTATTAATAAAACACTGGTATTACCACAAAATGTGAGGGATATAAACCATCTGAACAAGCATTTTTCACAACCTGCCCATGTGTTCTTGTTTATCTTTCTGATCAGTCAAGCTTTGTAAGGCATATCAAAATGCATTATTCAAGTCAAAATTTGAATTCTGGTCTTGATTAGTGGACCACTTATGCATCAAAGTATTCTTCTTTGTACATTAAATTTGAATGCCTTAACAGCGACGAGGGCTGTTAAAATGAACATTTGTGTTTGTAGCCAGAAAGAAAGAAAGAAAATCCATGTAAAAAAAAAAAAAAACGGTGCTTAGCAATCAGCATTTACAAATGTCTATTATGGGTTTGAGGAGTGCTCTTTGGTGCATCGTGTATGCTTAAACAAAGATTTAGCACTGCGTGAAGCGCAGGGCCGGAGCTGTCCCATCACGCCGCTCACATCTCACACTGTTTGGGTCCAACATGTTACTCACTCTCTCTGTTCTTAGCAGTGCAGCGAGTTTTCTTTAGACTCTGCTGTTTTAGCGGTTTTATGTTTGCCTCCTTAAGCTTCCAGTAAACATGTTGCACAAAGGAGCCGGCAGGCTGCGGTCAGCTGGTTTATAATACCTCTGCCGGAGAAGGGGATCTCCGTTTATCGAGATGAACAGCAGCTGTATTTGGGTCCACCCTTTTTCTTTAGAAGTCTGCGATGTGTGTGCATGTAGAGTGCATCCTTTGCCACATGTGTGGGCGTACCTGCCTGTATGTTTGGACCTATCTGCTCATCCTCGCCCCCTCTTTTGTCTGTGCTCTGACTGGCTCCAATCAGCCACCTACAAAACTACGTGACAGGACCAGGCTGTTGTGACCCCCACCCCGCCCCCTTCGCCTGCAGCATTAACCCCTCACCTTAAAGCTCTATATCTCCCTACATAACACTCCCAGTGATTGTTTCAACCTCTGTCCGGTAATTTTGGAAACTGCCTGACCCGCCATAGCTTGTAAACCAGCCATGTGAAAAGAGGAAGCGTACGTGGCGTGCAGATTTCCTGTAATTCTGCCAACTCAATCTCCCGGTGACAACAAATTATCTTAAAGAGTCCTGGACTGTGTGCAGCAGAGCGAAAATGCACCGAGTAAATTCACACACAGACCGTGTTGGTGTTTTTCCCTACAGACTTAAACATGAACAGGTGGGAGGAAATGGCATTTAGGACAATGCTATTTACTAAGCTGTGCAGTAAGCTCGCCGAGTGTGTGTTTGTGTGTACTGCAAGGTCATAGAGTTGCACAGAATGGACCTGGTACTGTGATGGAAACCAGAATCTGTTCCTGGTTGTCACATGTTTGGATACAAAAAGAGAATCTTATACCTCTCAGCGCGCACACACACACACACACACACACACACACACACACACACACAC